TGAGGGATAGCTCAGTGGTTTGAGCATTGGCCTGCTAACCCCAGGGTTGTGAGTTCAATCCTTGAGGGGGCCACTTAGGGATCTGGGGCAAAAGTCAGTACTTGGTCTTGGTAGTAAAGGCAGGGGGCTGGACTCGATGACCTTTCAAGGTCCCTTCCAATTCTAGGAGATAGGATATCTCCATTTAAAAAAAAAAAACGGACACAAGGACAAACCCAGTAGTCTGATCACTAGCATAATGGGACATGGGACTTTTTCTCTCACAGAGACTTAGCTTCACCTCTGTTTAGGAGAGTGTATGTGTGTGTGTGGGGGGGGGAGACCAAGAGTCTCTTCTACCCTTCATTTACCATCTTATTTTCATCCCACTCTTGCCAAGTTACTGTCTCTCTGGCTGTGGTTTATGAATCCCACTCCTGCTACACCTAGAAGAGATGGTACAGAGGCACAAGGCTCCAGCTCCTACATCTCCTTTGGGCTGCTGAGCCTCTCTCTTCCTGAATACCCCCCACGAAGAGAGCACTTAGCCAGCCCTGGATTGATAGGCTTTTAATTAGATTTTTCTTCCCTCTCTGCATTTCTTCTTTGAAAGCAGAACAAAAACCCTCACATCACAAGCAGGTCTGGATTTCTATGCATTTTAATATACAAATTGAGCATCTTTCAGAATGCCCTTACACAGGCAGCTGGACAGTCCCTTAAAAATCCCTTGCAGGTCCTCGTATTCGTTTGAGGTGCTGCTAGCGCATTAAAAAGTCCTATGCCCCACAAATATTAATCAACCTGTGGGATATACAGTAGGATGGAAGGAAAAGCTCCAGGGAGTGTATTTTCTGCCCAGCTTTCCACCAGGGAGGGATGATTAATAAAAACAGTGATTAGAAAAATATAAGAAGTGACCCTTTGTCCATGTGCTGGCCTAGAGCCAGGAGGTCTGTTCACAGGCAGGGGCTGGGAACAGTGGACTAGCACCTCCCTGTCCCTGGTGAAGGGTGGATAACAGCCAATGCCTTCTTTCTCCCTTCTGTCACTGGGCAGCAGGAGCAGCCCTGACTGGCTCCAAAGGGAGCTATGTCCAAGCCTCAGCCAAAGGAGAGGTTCCTTCAAAAAGAAAATGAATGAAAAAGAAAAGGGGATCTGCCCTCTCCCTTAACGTAACAGCTCTTTAAATATCAGCAAGATACACACAAGCCCCTCCCTGTGAACATGAAGCTGGAATGTGATGCTAAAAACATCTAAGATGCTTCTCAGAACACCAAGTCCTAGAAAAACTGTAAAATGATCTTCTCATGTGAATCTGATTCTCTGTCCTGGGGAGACGCCCGCTTCCATGTGAGCGATACAGGATGGAAGGGGGGTGTCTCTCATGATGGATAGGATCATTTCCTTTGAGGGATTTTCCTGAGACCTTGCAGTCGACTGAGCAGTTCCGTAATGAAGTCCTGGAATGAGAGTCAGTCAGAAGAAGGCTTTAATGCTTATTGTGCTCAGACACAGCTCTAAGAGTCACATGCCCGCTGCATTCCCCCTTATTGCCCTTCATATTTAGCAGAGGTCCAGTGACCAGAATGTTGGAATGCAGAACAGGTCCTGTTTTGTTTGGAGAGGGGAGGGCAAGATTTTTGTCAGCGAGGGAGGGGGCAGCTAGAGTGGAGAAGATGCCCACTCCTTTTTCTCATCCCCCAACCTCCCCCCTCTTCCAACTCTCTTCAGGGAAGTCACACACGCTTTGTCTCTTTCCCAGGCAGCCCACCCCTTCCTCTCCATGGAGCCTGTTTGTTCCCACCATTAGATGACTTCAGGGTACAGCTGCCTCTATTGTTTTTGCACCGAGTCCCCTGCTTCCACTGCAACCTCCCATCCACGTCCTGCTGCTCTCAATATCTAGGCCATAATATGCTTGATGCTTCCTCGCTGAAATGGCCATACTACTATGTAGTGGATTACAGGGCATCCCACATTGTGACCCATAATAGCTGGCTTGCTTCAGTGAGGAAGTAGTAGTGGTGGTGGTGGGGGAAATAACACGTGTGTGTTTGAGGACAAACATTAGCAGGGGGTGAGGATGGGCTGACCAGGTGGAAGGGCAGTGACCAGTTCTAGTGAAACTGAGAGAAAACCGAGGTTTCACCCAAACTGTCAAGGATTATCCCTCAAAACTGAGGCATCTGGTCATTCTACATGGCTGCCACTGTAAGTAGCACAAAATTCACCCTCTTCATAACAACCAACATGACCAAAATAGATCAGGTAACCTAAACCCCTCCCCATCTAACAGGTCACTCTAAGGTCTTTGCATTCTGCAGAAACCACTGTGCACACAGTGGAATGATAAGTCTCCTGCTTAAATCAGGCCGGTGTATTGGAGGCCTGACTTCACAGAGCTAAGCTTAATCTACCGCTGCATGTTCCCAGTGAATTTGCAGAACTATATCGTAAGGTTAGATTCACCAGGGGGGTCTTAGGTGTTGCTCAGCCTTTCAGGTGACCTGCTGCCTAGTGGAATTCACAACCCTGAGTTAGGTGCCCAGGGTCCCCAGGCGTTGTCTGAAGAGAATGAGGTGCCTAAAAAAAGGGATTCACAGAGGCCAGCACCCTGAGATGCCTAACCAACCAATAGAGCCATTCTCATGCCCATCTAACACACAGGGAACACTCCTGGAAGGTAAGCAACTTGGGTCCAAATTGCTGCGCTGAATCCTGCAAAGGTGGATTTGAACCCTGGCCTCCTAGATTAGGGGTGAGTTAACCACTGGGCTATTGGGAGGTGGTACTAGCACCATATCTTCCTCCTTGCTGTCTTTTGTGGGGCATACCTGTGCTTTGAGCACAGGATCAGACCCCACAGCAAAATAGGGAGGGGAAGGTCTAGTTTGCAAAGCCTTCAGGGGTTAGGCACGAATTAGGCAGTGAGCAGCTTGGGTTGGGTATCTTTGTGCATCCCCACAAGCAGAAATGTAGGTGCCTACAAAGTTAGGCAGCAGCTGAACGATGGTTTTGTGAATGCCAGTAGTGCTTAAAGTGACAGTTAGGCATCTGAAGCTAGCATGTAGTCAGCCCCTTTCCCATGTATCTGGTGCTTTTCTCTATCTGCTTGCTAGGTATATGGACTCCTGAAATGTGAGTGTAATGGACACATGGCTGCACAGATTACAGACACCGGGGTCAGCAGAGAGGATTGAACAAGACCTTTAACACAGACTCTTGGGCTAAGAAAACACTAATTCAGTTACTTGTTAGATGGTTGTCCTACTTGCTAGGGTCAGCCACTAAACAGCAACGTGATTACATTCATTAAGCTGGTGAACTACACAAACTCCTGCTGGTTATCCATGTGGGCACAATTAGCCTTGTGCTCTTTCCTGTGATTTGGAGATGGACTCTCAGGCCTTGGCTACACTTACCCGCTAGTTCGGCGGCTGGCAATCGAACTTCTGGGTTCGACTTATCGCGTCTAGTCTGGACGCGATAAGTCGAACCCGGAAGTGACTCGCCGTCGACT